CCCTTAAATCAACACCATTTCAGACCTGTGTTTTAATTAGTTCCCTAGTTCAGACCAATGTTAAATTACCATAAACATAATTTATGAAGGGCTTTTGTTAATTTTCTTTTCGATAATGATGAAAAAGTGGTTTCTTCTTAAAAATATAACCATATCAAGGCTAGAGTGCAAAAACCATACCCTATTTATGACCAAAATGGCCAAAATCAGCTAAAATCAATACACTATTTATGACCAAAACGGCTGAAAAACCATACCCTTTGGGGCTGCACATACCTATATAGCCCATATGAGGGAGTACCCCCCCCCACCCCAGGATTTATACTAAGTTCTAGACCAATGAGCATTATTAGGATCATCTCTCGCCTATTGTAATTGTTATTTGCGCAGGCATTTAGGAAAGCAGCACAAACCTTAGTCAAACCTTAGACAGCAAGAGACCACTGACCTATAAGCTGTTAACCTGTAAGAGTATCCCATTTACCACAGTATTTCATGCCACACCCAGGAAGGTCTATATCGAGTCAATTACAAGACTCTGAAGATGACTTTGGCTTAGCTTATCCAAACGCCAGACACCAACAACTGTCCTTTTCAGAACTACCCTCACCGGCACCCAGACGATCATACTAGATGAACTAAAATTATTAAGCGGCCACCTATTAAACAGCGGCTAGCAATCAAAGTCGTGATGGGGACTTTTCTACTGTTTTTACCTTTATTAAACGGCCAGCCCCCTTTAAGTAGCTACTATCCATTTCTCTTTAATAGGGGTCTTACTGTAGTAACACTCCTGGGGTCAAGCCATTTACTGTGATCTCATATTTGTATTCGGATGACCTTTATCAGTATATCTAAATTGTACAGATTATTGGAAACTTCTGCACCATCTGTTTATTTCTGTCATTTCGTGGCTCCTATTATGTGAAAAAGGAAATAGAAACACTCTGATACACTCGTTATATCAACCGTTTCTTAACCTTAGCTCAAAACAACTGATAGGCAGTTTTAATCGCTTTAGAGGGAAACAAAGCAATTGAATGGTAAATTCTGGCAGCTAATGCACACCTACATTTTACCTATCAATTATTTTCCCTAGCTACTTAAAGTAAATATCAACTGTTAAATCACTGAGTAAGGCGCATTCATCTTCTTGTGTTTGGTTTTTAGTTCATGGTGTCACTGCGCTGCCTACAGTAGTCTTTCAGGCTTGTTGCAAATTACATTCTAGGCTGGTTGTTCCACTGCAGCATCACTAGGAGTTCTCCATTTCTCAGAAACTAAAATAGAAAGTCAAAGGTTAGTGCAGAACATAATGAGT